GATGTAATGTTGGAATATGGAACAATAGTAACTCCAAGGACGAGTTAAAGATATACAAGTATTGAAGTGGGCCATAACCCACAGGACCAGGATTTAAAAAGAAGCAAGCACAACCTTGTTGAAGGAAGAATTCTAGAATTGTGATTTCATCAGCAACGTTTCATAGGAGGTTACGTAAACCCGGGAGTTGTGAAGAAACGATAGAGGTTTTGTTTGGCTTACAGAACCAATGGGTTTACCCGAACCCAATTCGTGGAGAAGAGAAGTTCTGCAATGATTGTGAGGATGCCCAAGTGTTAGAATACGTGATTCACTATCTGTGTATGTGGTAATGATTCAAGTACGGGATGGATTGCCCCCCATACCGGAGACTTCTATCATGAACTATCATATGTTGATGGAAAATCAGAGAGCCTTAAAACCCTAGAAGAGTGTCGACACGACAAGCCAAGAACCTTAGAATGGCAGTATGATGGAAACCATGTACAGGCACATGTTGCCAATCGTAGGTTATGCGGTGAGGTTCAACCCAGACCCATTTCCTGCAGGAGAAACCAAAAATCGTCGACCACCATGAGGTTTTCGATAGTTGTTTAGCATTGGCGCCAGACCTGTCAAGTCTCAGAAGGATCTTATTTTGATGCAAGGACTCCGAATTTTAAGGAAAAGGCCATGCCCTTACCAGAAGAGCACAAGTGAAAGAGTTATCTCGGAGAATATGAGAAGACTGACACCGTCAACGCAAAGGATGGAGTACATGAGTTCTGTTGGAACCGTAACCATGCTTCTAAGGGTGGTAGCACCCCATACCTTGTGTTGATGAATGGATTTTCAAGAAGACCCCCCAAACCTAACCTTCTTTCTAGCCTCTCCAAATCTCGAGGACGAGATTCATTTTAAGGGTGATAGTTTGTAACATCGCAAAATTCTAAATTTTGGAATGTTATATTAAATAATTAATTATGATTGTTTGTTTGTTTGTTGTGTGATTGATTGTGTGAAATTGAAACTTTTGAAAGTTGCATGAGAGGGAATAAAAGGACTTCCCCAAAACTTTCCATCTTGCATTTTGATCTCCATGAATTCAAATTCATTTCATCAAAAAACCCTAGAGTGGAGATAATATGACTTCTTCCATTTAAAGAAATGAAAAGGGGTTTGAAAATGATTTGAATTCCATTGAGAATATGTCAAATTTAGAAACTTTAAGCTACTCAATGAGTTCATTGGGGAAGATAAAATGACTTCTTCAAATGCGAAGAAAGAGAGTTGGAAGTTTCAAAAGAATAATTTGAAAGTCACTTTGAAGTTATTTGAAATTCCAAATTTCAAATCCTCTTGGAAGTTATTAAGTTTTAATTCAAATTATTTTTCTCCTAAAAAATAAATAAATGTAAATAAGGGTAAAATGATTCCCTGCAATGGAAAATTAGGAGAAAATAAATTTGAAATTATTTTTCGTATTAAAAAATGATTTTTATTGATTTTAAATGCAAAACTAGCACTGTTTGACTTTTATGAATTCTTATGGAATTTATTTGAACTTGAAAAATAGTTCATATTATTCTTGGTATTTTTATGAACATTTTGGTATATAATATGCCTATGTAATTTTTTTACTTATTTTCCTCTGTTGTATTTTTCTTTCTGTTTTCTAAACAAAAAAACACACACACCCACACGCGCGCACCACCTGGGCCGAACTCGCGCTTTCAGCCACGGCCCAACTCCACCGCCCGAAGGCCTTCGCGTCGCTCTCCCTCTCGTCCCTCTTCCCTCGCTCGCTCTCTCCCACTGCAGCTGCCAGTGGGGCCCACTCCCCAGGTCGTCTTCAACCTCTCGAGCCGCACGGGATAAACACCGCGCTAGTGCTCCCGAACCCATCAACCATCTTCCTCGCTCGGATGAGGCTTATCCGCTGCTCCCCGACGCCCTAGCCTCGCCTATAAAAAGCCCCAGACCCCCTCTCTCCATTCAGCTCTCTCGTGTCGTCCCAAGCCGCTCTCAGCCGCCGCACCGTCCGTCCGCATCTCGCCGGAGTCGAGCCGCTCCGTTGTTAATTGCGTCGCCGGTGAGCCATCCTGACCCCCATCTTTCTGACATTCTTTTGCCCGTGCCCGTGCGCATCTCCTTGACATCTTTGTTTTGCCTCTAGGTCCGCCAGCGCCGCCGCCTCGACGTGCCACGCCCTCACCGGAGCTCCGGACGCTGCCGCCTCCCTTCGCTCGTCGCCGGCCACCCCGACATGCGCCACCACCACCATCGCGACCCCCTCGTCGCGCTCGTCCCGTTCGCCTCTTTCCCCGCCGTCGGAGGTCACCGCAGCCGCTGCCCCATCACCGCCCAACGCCAGCGCCGCCGCCCCTGTATGTCGCGGTCGCCTCTATAAGACGACCGCTCGCCCCTCCGTTCATTTTTTTGTTTAAATCGGTTAACCGCGGGTTTCTTAAACCACGGGTTTTGTTAAAAAAATCGATCGGTGTTTGTTTTAGTTAGTCGTCGCCGCTGTTTTGCTTAGATAGCGGCCGTTCGCCGTATAAGCTTCTGCAGCGAACACTTTTTGGCCAGTAGGAATCCGCCACATTGCTAGGGACCTGGTCGCGAATAAAACTTTCACAGTCAAGTCCCTGAGTTTTCAGTTTAGCCCCTAAACTTCAAATGGTTGTATGTTTTTTAACTGTAGATCCAAATTATATGAAACCAGCGGCAAATTCTTCGTCGTGATTAGACCTACCCAGTGGTGCCATTTTTGTAAACTTTTGTCAGATTCAAAATTTGAAATTATTCATATTTGAATTCGAACTTCAAATGGCCATATCTCCTAAACCGTAGCTCAGTTTGAGTTGATTCTTTTTGCACTTTGTCACCGTAGCCCAACCCTACCACTTGGACCATTGTCACAACATTTTTCACCCAACTATGATCTCTCTATGATATTTTTAGTGCTACGCTTTATATGCACGATAGATCACATCACGGTTTTGCACCTTATGTCATATGTTGTTTTGCACTTAGAATATTTTTGTGATAGCTAAGAGTGTTGGATCTTCATTTGGTTTTTTTCGAGACTTTTTGCTTTACATGTTATTTTGGTTCTCCAAAATGATTGCTTATGTGAATGCAATGTTTGACTTTATAGATTTTCATTGGAGAGTGACGAGTAGTTCTATTAAGTAAATTTCTGAGAGCGATATACTCTTCATCAACTATTACCAGGCAAGTTCACATTTGACCATTCTTTCCATTATCTATGTTTTATATACGCACTTAGTCCTTTGGAGTAGGATTGCATGGTAGGAGTTTTATGCCCGATGGCTATGCTTTTACCTAGTAGTTCATCTGAGGTAGGTCTGAACCATACAACCTGGTCACCACCGTGTAAGTTTATTTCTGCCTCGCAAATGTAGACCTGGATTGGGAAGTGTTCATGGCGAGACTTGAGTGACAAAGTAGTAATCAGGACCAAGACTTAAATGAACTACCTAGGCGGAAATTGGTTTGAATGGTGGCGAAGTACAGTGGGGCACGCATGGGAAATCCATGGTGGTGCACCACTAGTGGTCCGTCCGCCCAGTCTCAAAGGGATCAAATATGTTTTCATGTCTAGAAGCTTACGTGTGCAGCCACAAGTCAATTATGGGCTCTTGCTTAGTTGAGTAGTTAGTGTGACCTCTTCCGGGATAGGCTAGCAGATGTAGAATGAGTAGGTGTACTGGCCTATCCGTGGGTTAAGAGGAAATAATTTCGAAAGACAATGTCTCAGTCATCCTATTCTCAAACGCCAGGCACTGCGAGAACTTCAAGGGAGGCAATCGAGTCTTGTGGGGAAAAGTACGCAAACCTCTGCAAAGTATTAAAACCTAATCGATTAGCTGTGTCCCCCGGTTACAGACAACTTGAACATCTAGTAATGGAAATGCTGGGAGATCTCATCACTCTTAATTTAAACAATTGGGTTTTAAATGAAACTTTAGGAACCGATTGAGTTAGGTTTGCCCACTCATCCTATGCTATCTTGTAGTGGTAGAGTAATATCTTTTATTCTAGGGAAAAACTAGCTTTATGCAAAAGCTAAACTTAGAGCTTCCCACCAGCCAAATTGCATGTACAAATAGGTTCATTATTCTTATGATGTGACTTGCCAGTACATTCAATGTACCGACCTACAGGGCTACAACATCTTATGTTGCAGGAATTTCTACGACGAGTAAGAGTTACGTTGTAGGGTTACGGTCTACAGTCAACCTGCTGTTGGCATTTATGGACTCCACACCCGTTCGTTTGTTTCCGCTGAGAGTTATGAGATATATATATCAGTTTTACGTTATTTATATATGTGATTGCACTTTGATATATACATTGATGTACTGTATGTGCCAGCATACCGATCCAAGGATGGCACAGATACACATAGCCTTGACCGTTTGAGGTCGGGTCGCTACATGCACTTTCCATGTTTCACTATGCTTTTACAGAAAAGCATGTACAGCAACACCCCAAAAGATTAAAAATCTTCAGTTCAGCTTTCCAGAACTACGCACTTGTTTCCAGCAAGAACATAATGCCAATCGCACAACCACCAAATTTGAGCAACTTGCACAGATGAAGTTATCAAGAAATGTAACTATTAACTTACTTCCGTTCCTCTTAGCCATTCCAAGATCCAATATTAACATCACTGCAAGACCGGTTGTCATCCTCAATCCCAGTTGCAGTTCTAGTGGGTGACCTCGCTGAATTGAATAGCCTGGCTAAAATAGACGTGAAGTCAAGCTCAGACATTGCACATAGATATAATAGATAAATTTAAACTATATGTAGACATACACCGCATACCATAATCTGAAACTCAACAAGTTTTGCTTGTAGCCTGGAAACATGAGGATGATAACTTGTAACCTGACAGACCCTTGTGAATTTGGTATCGTCGATCATCAAAAAACTATCTCCGGAACATTATATGATGAATCTGAACTACTTCGATTTGATTAAATTTTGTGTTAATCAATGAGCTTATTTGTTATCCTTGAAGCTGCTTGCTGCTTTGAAAGGATTTCTGCTATCAGTTGTTTTTGGCCAAAGAGTTGTGCATTTTTCAAAACCAAGTTCCTTGATGATGAGTCCACGGAATAGCCTTGACCAGTCATCCAGTCCAAGAGGCATAACAATAGTTGCTTCTTATCGGGCTTCTGGATGTATCGCTGAATTGCTCTACCAAAGGTTTCCTGCATGTGGAACGATCACATTCACCATTGGAAGATATATGTCAGATTTAAGAATATCAAGTGTATGTATATACAAAGTTGCAACATTGAAATTTTAGTCAACTTCTATCATGTGATTTTTGGAGCATCCCCTTTGTCCTAGCCAGGTCTAAGATTTTACCAGTTTTCAGTTTCCAGCCATCCAGGTTCAACTCCAAACTATACTTAGAAAGTACCAAGTACAGTACAAAAGAGTCACCTGGCTTATACGCCATCCTGAATGGTTTAGGGCTTTCATAACATCGTTAATCAAATTTATGTTGCCAGAGATCATGAATTGTGTAGCAAATTTCTCCAAAGAGCGTGGAGATATCGACTCTCCATTGTCCTGTTAAATCAGCATTTTTTTTGTTAGTGAATACACGCAAAATAAACAATAGAGATACCGGTAGTAAATGCCAAAAGCATAATACCTTAATAACTATATAGGCATCCTTCAGAAGTCCTGCTGGAACTAAGATGCCTAAAACCTTCTCGTGAAGAGATTTACAAACTGTTCTCTTACTATATCTCATCATATTATACACAGAAAACGCTTCAGAAGGAAAACCTGCTTCTCCTAGCTGCACCATTACCTCAGAACAAAGCTCCTGGACAAGGTTTATAGAAATTTTAGTTACTAACAGAATCACAACAAATATGTGATGCCCCACACTGTTCTGCAAGCATGTCATAATTCCAATAAACCGAATTTACCAAGAATTTAACAATTGGCTTTATCCAGAATGTAGCTTAGTAAAGATATACTCCCTCTGTACATAAATATAAGACGTTTTAGAGACTTGTTCCAAGATACAAGAACAAAAATACCTCATTCAGTTGATGGCCTTTCGTATGCATATCTACAATCGTCTTGTATGCTAGGTGATAGACCTTTGCCTTGCAGAAGTACCTTATTAAGGTATTAAACGTGATATCATCAGGTGATATATTCAACTCATCCATTTTCTTCAGCATTCTCATTACACTTTCCGTATCATATGTATTGCAGTAAGCACGAAGTGATGTGTTAAGCATAACAAGATCATATGTGGCATTCTGATCCTCAAATTCTTTTGCAAGATTTTTTGCTTCTTCACGATAACCACTTCGATGTAATGCTGAAATCATGATACTAAATGCATAGCCATCTGCAGAAACCAGAGGATAAGGTCATCAGACAAGATCAAGAAGACACAAATAGTAATAGCACCCCACTAAGAGACACAGAGAGTCAGAGTCATGCAATCAAATGAATAAGTTATAAGAGGCAGACAAAAGAAAATCAAATGCTTAAAACTGGCAAACACAGTTTACTAATCAGGATCCAGGAACTGCATCGTTGCATTTAGAACGACAAACTGATAGAGGTACTTCAGTGGGATTTCTGGTTAGATATCGTACCAGACTTGACACCTTTTTCTTTCATTTCATTGAACACCATTGTTGCTTCCCATATCTTTCCTCCTTTGGCAAGTGCATCAATCAATATGCAATATGCCATCTGTACACAGCATGCCATAAAGCATAATTACGGTCAATTTATAGGACCATACAAACTTAGATATGAGCAGTGTTGTGTGTGAGATCACATGTTTTACCTCATCCTGTGCAAAGCCTGAGGCTTCCAATTCAGTTAGCAACTCCTTAGCCTTCTCAAACAGACCACCTTTAGAATATACCTTCAACAAAGTGGTCAGTATAACCTGCAAAGGGAATTTAATGAGAAGTTAGATTGACATCCATAGCAGCACCATTTTCTTGAATATCCAAAGATAATTTCGAAATGTATAGAAGTTCAATTGCATGAGTACAGCATTCAACAGAGAATTAGATAGTAGGTACTCCCTCCGGTTCACAAAAATCTGTTATTTTGGACATAATTTTAACGTGTTTGGAACATAGGAATATAAAAAATCAGGAATGCTACTACAATGACAATGCTGCAGCAGAGAAGTGATGCTTGTTAGGAAATATGCAACTTAGTATTATCAGGAGGCGAACGCCATCATATATACATGTACAGGGGAGGCCAAAGGCCAGAATGCAAAAGGCCAAAGGCCACCATAAATATAACTCTAACAATGCTATCATAACAGGAGCATAGGCTGCACATGCCTATTTCTTGGACCATTAAAGCCCATGGCAAACAAGTTATATCACATGGTATCATTATCTCTCTTTGCCTCGGGCTTCCGCGCAAAAATGAGGTTGGACCCAATGTTTTAGTTCCCGTAAAATCAGAGGAACCCAATAGGGTTCCTCTGGTCTGCTACAGTGTTCATCTGGGTAAATTCCTGTGAAGTAAATACCACTAGATCAACTCCTATGGATTGGCTGTTTCTACACTCTTCCTATGTTCCTCTGGAAAAACTCCATTGCGAACGAGGCCTTTAGTCAAACTTCAAATATTTGACTAACAATATCCTTTTAAGCATTGACATCGGATACTTGGAATGACATGTGTGGTCTTGCCTCAGTACTTCCGTAGTATCATAATCCATTGGGTTTTATGAATATAAATTAGTGGTCACAGTTACATTTTGCAGACTGTGTCGACGTACAAAATAACAGCATTTTGTGGATGGGATTGGTCGTAGAGAGGCTATATTATAGAAGATACATGAGCACTAGTGCCCTCACTTTTAACCGAAGCCATCAAACTAGAAACCCTATTCAACAGATCATATGGAAAGCAGCAACAGAACATTTCAGCACGTAGACAGAGTATGCCCAAGTAATTCAAGAATAGGCATCGCAAAAGTAGTGTCAGTTATGTATTTGTTATCACGCAGATGGAGAAACACTATTCACTGACATGCTACATGATGGAAGTTGTAAGTTATAATATAGTTGCACAAGATACCTTAACAAAGAAACATAAATGATGCAGCTGAAAAACCCAAGTTGCATAGAAGTTTAAGCACCATGAACATGACCTCTGAAAGCTACACCCCCAAGTGTCACCTAGAATTTCTCAATATCGACGCAAACCAATTGTGCAACTTGTCATAGGGATGTGTCATGTCTATTGAAAAACGTACTCAACACGGCAAGCTTAGAAATGAGACTGACAGGATCACGGACTTCAGCAGATCAGAAAGCATAGATCATAAAAAGATTTAATAAGGGACAAGCAAAGAAAATAGACCTTATTTGGTGTTAAACCAGAAGACCTCAAATCTTTCATCAACAGCTCAGCTTTTTCATAATAAGAATTTACTGAATACGCGTTCAACAGGGAACTGTAGTGAAACAGATTAGGATTATGGCCTTTATCCTTCAATTTCTTGAAGTATGCCTCAGCTTCCTCACAGTAGTTATGAGATGCACATATTGCCAAGAGGGTACCATATATTACACTATCCATCTGAAGACCGCGTGAGTTGAGCTCATTGATCAACTCCATTGCCTTAGCGTACCCGTGCTTCAACTTCATGCACCCTGACAGCAGCTGGGGGGTGGATAGGAAAAAAGAATGCAAAAGTTATTCATCCAAGCGAAAAGAGGTTGTGTGAAGCCTAAAACAAATGCTAGTATGGAAAGATGGGGGTTCAATGTCCCATACAGTACTGTAGGTGAAGAGATCAGGTGATAGACCTCCTCGTATCATCTCATCATAAAGCTTGAAGGTGCTGTCGGATCTCCCGTTCTTCACCAAGCACCCGAGAAGAGAATTACAAACAGAAACATTGACTCTGGTCGACTGGTCCTGAATGGAACCGTACACTTGCAGAGCTTTCGCAGCATTACGGCTCAACCCCAGGTACTTGAAATAGCTGCTGTAAGACGCAATGTTGAGCATGTCATGCTCCTGCATCCACCCGAAGACCTGAAACAAAGTTGAGAATGACTCGTGTCTACTGACACTGGCATAATTCACAGTCGCCGATAACTACCTTAGAAAGCACATCCCATCGCCTGATTTCTCCATAGTGGCGCAAGATTATGTTGCAGTCCTGTGTCTGCAACACATCTTCGAGCCTGTAGCAGAGTTCGCAGGGTTTAGATTCAACTCTGGTTAGCAGTACGCAAGTGGGATAATCCAAAGGCTACAGCAGCTGAGCTTACTGTGGGCTGTGAGGAATCACTACAAGGACAGGAAACGAATGCTGCCGGTCTGTGTACCTGGTTAGGGCAGCGACGGGGTCGGGGGCGGCCTTGACCTCAGCGACGGCGTTGCGCCGGGGTGACGGCCGCTGGGCTTTGGGGACTTTACGTGCTTCCAGTGCCTGATTGGCGGCGCGGACGAAAGGGAGGCTCCTCGTGCGGGAGCAGGACGCCGCAGCCGCTGGCGGGGAGAGGAAGCGGGAGGTGGCGAGCGGCAAGGACGCGGCTTCCATCTCGCCTGAGTCCGAGCGAGCCGAGCGGAGTGTCGTCTCGTTCGCCGGAGAACGGGAGGGTGGGGTTGTGTTCGTCCACAACAATATCGTCTGAATTTCTCCATGGGCTCCATTCCTGGCGTGAACACTTTCGGCCCAGGAGTTTCAGTGGAATACAACTCCGCAGCCCTCCTGGCTGAGAGGTCCTATGTGCCGCATTTTGCGGCAAATTGCCGCCATATCGCACAGGGGCGCCACCGAGTGGACCGGCCCATTCGAAGCACTGCAGCGAGCGAACAAACGCGGTGTAGGTAAAAAAAAATAGAGCGCCCCAGTAGGTGATCGAACTCGCAACCTCTGGCTTCTGAATGACTCTGGCTAGCCACTCGACCTGGCAGGGCGTTAGTGACTGTTATACACCACAGAATGTTAAATGAACTAAGGAGAGGGTCAGCTCAGAGATGTACTATAGCGGCCGGACCGTGAACACTTTTTAAAAACACAAATAAAATTCGAATTTCAAACTTTTCAAAAAAGATAAAAAAAATAGAAACCAGAAAAGTATTTTGAATTTGTGAACAGTTTTTTTAAAGGAACATTATTTAAATTCCGAACAAAATTGAAAGCCTGCACATTATCTGTAACTCCCCGAACAATTATTTAATTTGTGAACAAATTTTGAAAACGAGAACATTTTTTGAAATTGTGAACAAAATTTTGAAAACAGGAACATTTTTCGAAATTCCCAAAAAAAATTAAAATGCGAACATTTTTTGAATGTATGAACAAAATTTGAAAACAAGAACATTTTTTGAAATTCCCAAACAATTCTAAAATGCAAACATTTTTTGAATGTAGGAACAAAATTTGAAAATAGGAACATTTTTTAAAATTGCCAAACAATTTTAAAATGTGAACATTTTTTGAATGTAGGAACAAAATTTGAAAACAGGAACATTTCTTGAAATCCCAAATAATTTCAAAATGCAAACATTTTTTGAATGTAGGAACAAAATTTGAAAACAGGTACATTTTTTGAAATTCCCAAACAATTTTAAAATGTGAACATTTTTTGAATGTAGGAAATTTGAAAACAGGAACAGTTTTTTAAATTCCCAAACAATTTTAAAATGCAAACCTTTTTTGAATGTAGGAACAAAATTTGAAAACAGGAACTTTTTCAAAAATTTGAACTTTTTTTAGAATCTTGAATATTTGTGGAAAAAGAAATTTAAATTGAATAAAAAGAAAACAGAAAAAGAAAAAGCTGACCACAAAGAAATAGAAAGAAAATAAAGAAAAGAAAAAACATTTGAAACAGGAATTTATATACATGACCAAACAGTTGAAACGGAAACTTTTTTCTAGTGCTTCGAACATTTTTTGAAAGTGCGAACATTTTTTATATAGGTGAACATTTTTCAGCTGCATAAACTGAACATGATTTAAAAAATAAGAACATTTTTTGAAAAATTTGAAAAACAAGAACATTTTTTAATACATGAACAAAAATTTGAAAAATAAGAACATTTTTTGAAATTTGTGAATAATTTTTGAAAACAGGCATTTTTTTAAATCCATGCCATTAATTTTCAAATTTCTTAAAAATGAACAAAAACAATTTGAACAATTTTTGAAAAAACAGGAACATTTTCTGAAAATTCGGAACAAAAATTTGAAAGCAGGAACATTTTTTGAATTTATGAACAAATTTTGTGAAATGGGAACATTTTTTGAATTTTTGAACAAAATCTAAAAAACAGGAAAAAATTGAAATTCGGATTTTTTTTTGAAAATAAACTTGAAAAGAAAAAAAGGAAAAGAAAAAAGAAAAAGAAGAGAAATAGAAAAACGAAAAACAAAAAAGAAACTAAAAAAGAAAAAGCCGGTTCAGGAACCTTCTAGAAGGTTCCCAAAACCGGAAAAAACGGCTGGAAACATCATAGAAGGTTCCAAAAACCGGGGTCTGCTGTAACGCTAAACGGGCCGGCCCACTCGGTCGCTCCCTCGCACCTGCCCTGTGCGAAGCGTCAACTACTTGCCGCAATGAGAGGCAAGTAGGATTTTTCCTCCTGGCTACACCTAAAAAAGGGGAGCTCCTAGTCAGCGCCTTCGGCGCCCATGCAGCTGCGCTTTTGGGCCGGCCCAATACGGGGGGCGCAGCGCACGCAAAAGGAAATGCCCAATACGGGGGCGCAGCGCACGTAGAAGGAAATGCCCAATACGGGTAACTATTGAGAGACGGTGCACCGGCGGAAGCTTCGGCCGGTCCAGTCCACGCGCGCACGTGCGACCCACTCGCGAGCAACCACGTGGCGCGGTGGACCCGAGTTGACTAGTCCTCCCGCTTATCTCGCGGGTCTCGCCTCATCCCCGTCTCGCAGCTGCATGAATCTCGCCCCATCCTCGCCTCCTGCGTCCATCGTTGTAGCACGCAGCGTCGACGCCCGCATCTCCTGCCTCCATCACTGCAACGCTTGAGGAGCTCGCCGTCGGCCATGGAAGATCGAATCCCCGCACGGCTATCGATGTAGATCTCACCCCGCATGCTTACACCTCCCTTCGCCATTGGATGCAGCAAGGCCGTTGACCAATCTCATTCCCGGCGGTTGCAACTCCCACACGCCTCATGCTTCTGCCTCACCGCCGACGAGTCGGGCGGCGATGGGCAACACCAGAGGCTTCTGCAGAAACCGTCGCACCCCCTCCTGTTGCAACCGTTTTACAAAAAAGCTCCATCCCCCTTGATGGAAAGCTTCAACCGGATGTTGAGGAAGCTACAAGCTGTCAGCGCCATCGCCGGAAAGCTACAACCGTTGACATGAAATGCTACAACCTTCAATGAAAAAAGCTTCAACCGGAATGACACAAAAAGCCTTGGCCAAGCGCTGCTAAAAAGAAAATAGCTACAACCATTTGATAGAAAAGCTTCAACTGTAGTTGGAAAAAGCTCCAACCATTGAGAGAGAAAGCTACAACTAGACTATGCAAATCAGAAAAGTTGCAACCGCTAACAGAAATGCTTCAAATGTATGTGTGAAAAGTTTCAACCGGCGACCGGCGAGGGGGAAAGCCACGAGTAGTGCCGGGTGTGGGCATGTTGGATATGCTACATTGTTTTTGTGTTGGAACCGGCATTTCTTTCTGCTACGACGGTGTGACATTTTTAATGCCAGTTGTAGCTTTTGCAACAGCCGGTTATAGCTTTTTCATTTGTCGTCCATGGCTTACGGCTTCACAGTTGAAGCTTTTTTCATTATCGGATGAAGCTTTTTTCGTCGCCAGATGAAGCTTTTTTGTCACCGGTTGTAACTTTTCTTTGGTCGTTCATAGTTTTTCGTCATACGAGTTGAAACTTTTTCCATAGCTGGTTGAAGCCTTTTTCGTCACCTATTGTAGGTTTTTCGGCGTAGGTTGCAGCACTGGGCATCTCCCTGGGCGCTTGATTTTTTTTTTGTTGTAAGCGGGGGATGAGCGCTTGCGAGCACACCGGTGAGCACGCCGGTGAGCTCCGGTCGTCGCCATTGGAGCTACAATGGTTGCCACGGAAGCTACACTGTTGCATGGGCGAAGCCGGTGACGCGGACAACCGCCGAGGGCTGGGACCGGTGACCAGGGCGGCCGGCGAAGACGGGCGGCGATCAGAGACGGGGAGGGTAGGCAAGGGGGTGGCGACGAGGGGAAACACGTGCGGCCGGCGAGACGGGGTTACTTTTCCCGTCCGCGCTCGCGAGAGGAAGAAGACGACCTGATTGGATAAAGATCCAACGGATCGGGATGGACCGATCTGACGGCTAGGATTGGACCGGCCGAAGCGTTCGGCCGGTGCGCCGACGCCTAGTATCGGCCAAAGGAAATTCAACAAAAACGAAAGCGCCCCGCTAAGAAAAGGGGAGCTCCTAGTCAGCGCTCTTGGGCCGGTCCAATACGGGGGCGCAGCACACGCAAAAAAAATGCCCAATACGGGAGCGCACGCAAAAAGTAATGCCCAATACAGGGACGCAGCGCATGCTAACGAATCGAACCTGCGTCCTCATTCTTCCTTCTACGCTAGGCTGACCACTAGGACGCTTGGGCAGGTGTGAATGCTTACATCTTTTCCGTTTTTATCTTCTTTCTCTTCTTTCTTCTTTCCTTTTGCCTTATTTCCTTTTTCCTTTATTCCATTTTCTGTTTTCTGTTTATTTTCTTCTTCCTTATTTGATGATTTTTTTTTCTAATTCGTGAACTCTTTTCAAAACGATGATTTTTTTTCATTTTTGATGAACTTTTTTTCAAATTCATTGAAATTTTAAAAAAGTTTCACAAATTTGAAAAATAATCATTGATTTTTAAAAAAAGTTCATAGAATTAGAAAAAAAATTCATTGAATTTGAAGAAAGTTCATTGAATCTGAAAAAAAAGTTTATCAAATTTGAGAAGGTTCATCATAACTGGAAAAAGCTCATCGAATCTGAGAAAAGTTCATCGAATTTGAGAAAAGTTCATCATAATTAGAAAAAGTTCATCGAATCCAAAAAAGTTCATCGATTTTAAAAAAAGTTCAACAGATTTGAAAAAAAAGTGCATTCATTTGAAAACAGTTCATCGGGAAAATGAAAAAAAAGGTTAATGGATTTAAAAAAATACACAAAAAGTTTTCAAATAGTTCATCAATTTGAAAGGAAGTTCATCTAATTTCGAAATAAGTTCATCAATTTGAAGAAAAAGTGCACGTATTTGCGAGATAATTCATTGACCCAGGAAGAAGAAAAAATAGAAAACAAAAAGGAAAAAGCAAATGAAAAAAATGAAAAGAAGGAGAAAGCGGAAAGGAACCAATAAAGGGAAGGAAGGGTTCAAATTAACCAGATCGGGGTTGTTAGCTTGTTGGTTGCACCATTATGTACGTGAGTGGGAGGTGGCGACTTTGTGGCGATTGCCGATAGGGAATGTGATGGGCCTCCCCGTGATCTTTTTCCTGATAAAGGAAATATATTAATATCAAGTTGATACCAATTTCACTCAGGCTCTGCAACATT